ACTCTACCCCACCGTCAGAAGGGACAGGGCCTACAGGCTGTAGAACTTGAGGCTCCTGTCCATGCCCGTGGACGCGATGAACTTGGCGTGCTGCCCGAAGGCCACCCCTGTGGTCAGGCCGCTGTGCTCTGCAAGAGACGAGGTGTCGTGAGGCCTTCCCCTCGGGTCTGAGCACTGACCCGATGACACACGCCCCCCCCCCCAATGTGACTGCTTGTCTGGTTCCCCCGGTCTTTACACTCCGAGGGCAGGGCAGGGCAGGGCCCTGGTGGGACCAGCATCTCCCCGCAGGGCCTCACATGGTGCCTGGCTCGTGGCAGGCACGCGAGGCTTTGCCGTGGGCTGAGTGCACAGAGGACTACCAGCCCCCATCCCCGGCCCCGAGCTTCCGGGCAGCTGCGGTCCTGCCCTTCCGTGAGCTGCCCCGAGCCGGGCGGCGAGCGCTGAGCCAGAAGCGGGCCGAGGCTGGCTTTCACTGTGGCTGAGCCCCCCGGTTGAAGTGTCAGTGGTCAGCCTGCTTGTAGCTGGAACAGCCCTCCGCTTGCTCTAGCTCATGGGTTCCAACTCTTAGAGATCCCGGGCCCCTCACAGGGCCTGGGGCGGGGCAGAGGGGCTGGGCAGCACTCCCCCGGGACTCGGGCGTCACTGCATGTTCCTCAGGCCCGTTCAGGGTCACCTGCCGCCAGCCAACTGTCCACTGCAGGCCCCTGGCTCCCACCGGCCTCAGACCCCGGCGTCGGGGAAGGGCTCAGCCACGGCCGCAGTTAGGCCTGGGAGCATGCGGAGGGAAAGTATCCTGCGTCCCGCCCACAACCTGCCACTCACACAACTGTCCACACAGACAGCAGCTGCCACGGAGCAGCAGGCACCTGTCACCACGCACGGCACCCCCACGTCACTGCTGGCGCCACCTGCACAGCAGAGCCGCTCTGCCCACTTTCAAGGTGGAGAGCGACAGCCCTGCAAGGGGCAGTCACGCGCCCAGGCCACAGCTATGGCGGGTGGCGACCTGTGTCCACCGTCTCAGCCCCTTGGACCTTCTTCTCCGGCTCGCCCACGTGCAGTTAGGTGTTTACCTGGGAGTCACGTGCATCCCTCCCTCACCCGACCAGACAGCCCATCAGGGCGGGGGCCTCCTCCCTCGCACTCGGCTCTAACCCCACAACGGACAGGACGCATGTGGAGCACTGAGGGTAGATCCTCCCGACAGGCAGGCCCCGTGCTGACACCCGCTCCTCGGCCCCTGGGACGCACACCCCGCCCGGAGAGC